TTTTTTTTTTTTTTAAATCTAAAATTTTCTAATTTTGAAAAAAAATCTTTATTAAATTTATTTTAAAAAAAAAACATGAATGTGAGATCGAAATAGCCTCAGGTAATACAGGTGCCATGAAACTCAGTTTTCTAATAATACTACATCTTAATCCATTATGGGAAAATTTTTAAGAATAAAATAAAATCTTAGTTTCGTTATGAAAGTATGTTTTGATTTTTTAGGTGTGACGTGACACGAGTAAAAAGGGGAGGGGGGGTTAAAGAATTTGTGACGCTTCGTGACTGGGGGGAGAGGGGTCTAAAAAGGTCATTTTTAGCGTGACGTAATTTACGAAGTACCTTGAAGCTCATCGGGAGTTCGACGTTCATCGGCATTTCGGAAGTAGCATACATTCCGTCACATAAAAGTACCCCCTGTTATTGCTAAATTGATATTTCCACAATTTGACCCTCTTACGCACGTGGCGTTTGGTACGGTTTTAAAAACTCCTGCTCTAAATTGTGGACTTTTCATTCGCCTAATGACCATCAGCATCCGCGAATCAGCTACGTGAATTGAGTTTCATTGGGTTCTTGGTGCACTCCCCCGAAACATCCCGTAGTCACGACGTAAGCATATCTCCTCTAAATTTAAGTCGCACGAAAAAGTGTCTCGATTCTTATTTGTAGTTTCGATGACTCGGTGCATTTAATCCTTTTGTCAGTGTCATAAGATTAGCATAGAATTGCAGCTGTGCATAGTTAAGGGCAAACCCAAACGTCTAATCAGCCTTCTCGCCTGTAGTGTTGAGCATATTTTTTTTTTATTTCAACTAAACACGTTAAGTTAATAATAACTTGTTGTGCCGCGTCGGCAAACCACTTGTCCCGTTGCCTCTTAACAAAGGCACGCCTTCTCATCGTAAAATCATTACATTACCGCCGTTACCATGGCAACACCAACTCCGGAGATGCGTATTGATTTTTCCCTACCTCAATGTTTTAGATTATTCCCAGCAACTCCGTTTCGAGCGCAGCCATTTGCTGCGTCTGTTTCTGAACACTCGGAGGCCAATCTTGCCACGAGAGACGCTGCATTGATTACCTTGTCACACTTATAGATTTAATGAAACCAGCATGGAGTCAATATTAATAATATGTAGAAATTGTGGCCCGATCTGTTGTTCTCCGATCTGTTCCCACACCATGAGTCTCCACACAGTTCTTATCGATATTTATTTGACAATAAAAAAAAATATTTGTTTGCGCATATATCTGGCTTAAGGCACAAATTTAGTTTAGGGAATCTTTTTTTAACTGTTCCTAAACCGATTTTTAGTGAAAAGAAAGCTTTATTTGGAACCGACATAAATGTATAAACATAATATATGCTAACTTTCTAAATATTTCAGAGGCCACACAAACCAGTGCACAATAATGCACTGTATCTTTTTTAAATAGTTGGCAGTAACTAAAAGCTACATTGCGCTGAAATTTTGAAATAATCAATGGTGATAGTACATGTTGCTTTGGAGAGATAAATTAATAATGCCAATAATATATCATAGGCATAATCTAGGCCAGTGGTTCCCATCCTGCGCACTTGTCAGGGGCTCCGCGACCGCTGCAGGAAATAAAATAAACACCATTAACTTGTGAGGCTTGAAGAAGGACTATAGGGGACCTCTTTCCCCCCCTCCCCCCAAACTACACACACACTATTTAAAAAAAAGGTATTCTATAAAGGAGCTCACGAGTCAAAAAGGTTGGGAACCACATATCTAGGCATGCGATCTGCTTTTAATGTTAATCTTTATCGGCTGTTTCACATCATCAAAAATAACCTCGAATGGCTGTAACTTTTTAAGTTAAGTTTTAGTTTTTTAAAAAATAATTAATTACTGTCTATAATTTCATATTACATTCGAGTTACTTTGTTTATTATGTAGAAGAAACTTCATAACTTTTCTTCCCATTTAGTAAAATAGGAAATACAATCAATCCTACAATTCATCATTTTTTTTTTTTTTTTTTTTATTTAATATTTCCTTTTTTTTTTTTTTTTTGTTTTTTTTTTTTCGTTGATCTAAATATGGAGTCGCCGTTTCATTGGTTAGTTAATCTCGGGATAATGTTAGTTTTATGTTTAACTGTGTGTTAGCTTAACGCGATGGAGACTGTTTATTCGATATTGTTCAAACACTTTTTATCACTTTATCTTTTTAATATTTGAAACTTAAGCTCGCTCCCTCCTAGGCGCCACAATTTTTAGTCGAGATCAAGGTTTTTGACAACCTGCCGTATACAGCTACCACATCTACGACTCGGACTGAAGATGAAAACATGAATCTGTAGGAATGTTGTAAATGAATATGCATAATATGTATTATATGATATGTTTTATAGCAATAAAAATTAAACCGATCTATAAAATGTAGAGTAATAAAAAAAAAAAAATTTTAAAATGTGAAGAAGAAAAAAAAAATTCATTATTTTAAAACATCTTGGGGCATTCCTGAAAATCAGAAGAAAATAAATTTTGAAATAGATGTCGAAACATTGACTTTGAAAAGTGTTTGAAGAAATGTAAAAGGTTTCACCTTCACACAA